ATATAAAATGTCAAATAAAAATGAGTACATTTTAGGAAAACAATTTGTCAAAATTTACTTAAGTACTAATTGAAAATATCAGTCAACCCTGAAACCATTAATCTGCTTCTTTAAGCATTTAAACAGTTGCCCACCAAAAAAAATGTAATTGTTTTAAGGGTGATTGCTACCAAAAAGTCATGGAACAGATCATTGCAACTTTATACAATTATTTTAGAGAAAATAAAAAGAGAGATTATTATTATGCAACTCATCTTATAATGCTGAGAAGGACCTGACAAGAGCAACAAAAGAAAAGAAAATTATATAACAATATTATTTACTTAACACAGATAAAGATATTAAAACATTAGTAAGTCAAATTTAACCATAGGTTAAATAATAATAATAAAAAATGCATCACAACAATTTCTTCAACCTTTCCCTAACAGTGTTGACCTCTCATATCACAAGATATGTTACCTGCAGAGGAGAATAAAGGTAATTTTGAAATGTTGAAGAGTTTTCCTTTGGTGCATTTATCAGTATAGTTAGTTATTTCAGGGGATTTTAAAGCTCGATAAAGTCCCTATTTCACTAAGAATAGATTGTGAGTGACACAGATACACGTTTATAGACATGCAATAAGGGTAACCTTCTCTATTGCTATTTAAATTATGATCATACATTGAAAGCAGTGATGTTACAAGGTCAACTAGAATTTTTTCTGTTTTCCAGTTGATTGAATCCAGGTCATCTGTCACAATGTGATCAAACTAATGACTAAAGCCAGTGATGGGGAAAGTCTCTGGTTGTGTTTTAAACTTGCAAAGCATATTTCTCTGGAACCTTTGTCTTAGGAGAGTAAAGCATAGAGCATGACTTCCTGTGAGCAATGGAAGAACAATAAACACATGCTCCCCAGAATCTGCTGAATTTGCTATCTATAGAAAATGAGATATTGCCTAACAATTAAGGTAAATTAAGCAGCTGTTTCTTTCTATATTGAGCTAATGTTGCTTTGAAATTGTAAATTGTTGATGGGAGATCAGAATAAGAAAGAAACAATATCATTTCCCATTTCTTGAGCAGTTCATTTTATGATTATCATAAGAAGCAAGTGTTTTTGCAGCTGGCAGTGAATAGAAATAAAATATGACACTCCAAGGAAACTGCTTAAATGAATAAATAGTAAAAAGTAAAATAATTGAAACATACCAGTTTATAATTTTTTGCAGTTAAAACAAAAACTCAACTCACCCAAAGCTCACATAGAAGTATTGGAAGAGATAAGTAATACTAACGTTGAGCATGTCTCCTTTCCATCTGAAAGTGAAAAATGTAAAAGAATAAGCTGGAAAATACACAATTCTTTTTAATATCATAGAGACTAATGAGTACTCCAAAAGTAAAAATAAAAAGGCCTGAAGAACTCAAATGTTTTAATTGAACAGATATTTTGTTATTACTCCATTGAGCTAGCTTGATTTTTTTCACATTACTTAAATGCCTTTAGAATTTTCAAAGTATTAGTGAAATTTAGAAATTAAGTAAATAAAAATGCTTTGTAGGAAACAAATGTGCTTTCTCACCATTGGCTGATCTTAAATTATTCCTATGTCTTAGACCTGTGCAATTTATAATTTTCTTTTATTCTACATTTTTAAAGAAACATATATAAACACAACATAGACATGATAAAATGAAATTTAATGTTTGCGTATATGTATTTCTTTGAAAAATTTTTTATTTTTGTTTGAAAATATTAGTGAAATTTTATTATACAACATGAATATTTCAGGCATGTTATTTTCCACTGTGTGGACAATCAATAAACACTAAGTAAACACAAGAGCAAATCCCATTCATAAACTTATCACAGGCCATTTTGGAAATATGTTTTTTTACCTTGGAAAGAATTCAAAAGTTTTGGTTTGCTTTTACTCTCTTTCCTTTACCAAAGTTTCAAGTGATATTATTTTAGGTGACCACACTTTACTGCAGTGCACCCAGAAGTTCAGTGATATTAAGGTATCTGTGTGGTAGGCGATATATTACCTTTGCAAAGGTATATAATAAAGCATAAAGAAGACGAAAAATTCATTTTCTTTAGGTTGCAAGGTAACACACAGAGAATTCAATATAAATTCTCAAAACTTTGACTTTTGTTTCTATGCTAGGTTGCATCCCTTATAGTTATTAATTTGGTAGCAGTCATTTTATTCTATTTACTTAGTGTTTGTCACGTGCCTTCTAGTCCTTTAGTTATTTTTCCTTTTTATGAATGACCCTTCTGATCTAATGATGATGGGTAAGAAAATTGAAACTGTTAAGTCTGGTTAACTGAATTTACCTGACTAAATAAATCTCTATTCATTCGTTTTGATAACTGTATTCACAACATCAATAAAAACTTGCCAACTTTCTGTTTAACCTATTTCAAATTATTACAACCACAATCATTAACTTATAATTCATGGTATTACAGAGATTTTTTAAGGAGGGTTTTATTTTCATCACAGTGGAGGTTTTATTATTTGTATGGTATTTTAGAACTTAAAAAACTTTTAAAAATCACTTTTTTACTTCAGTCTCACTTCAATGTCACAGAGTGACATAACCAGCATTAATAAGATGTGCCTGTTGGCAGATTTGGAGAATTAAGCTTTGAAGGAATGATTTAATTATGTTTCTCCAGAAGTAAAATATGTAGTTCAATTTTTGTGAAGAGAGCTAAATGAGTTTACTTTTTGGGTATGTTTAGTACATACCAGAACATAAAGTTGTACTGCAAATATACACAGAAAACACAAATCAAAAGGGCCAGGAATGATCTGATTGGCAGTTGGTTTGATTAGAACTATTAGGTAATGTTGGCATAAGAAGCATCAGGGATGAAAAGGAAAGAGTGGAAGTCAGGAGATAGCTCATGCATATTAGTTAGCAAAAGTTAAAAAAGAGTTGGAAGACTTGAGAAGAGCTATTTCTGTACTCTCTTAAAACATTCTTTATCATTACTTTTTACGACAAATATCAATCCTGGTGAATGCAAAATAAATTTACCTGGAAAACCCTACATATGAACATCAAATTATTAAAAGAAAATAAGCAAATTTAATACTAACACGTATCTTGTGTTTATCACATTGGTACTCCCAAATCATCAATTTTTGATAGAAAGGACAGATGTTATGAATTAAATTTAACACATGACAAAGATGGAACAGATGTTATACTTTGCCCCCTTCCTTTTTAAGCACAAAATAATTAGTCTTTGTGAAATGTGAGGCACATCCTTTACCCATTGTGTTATGAATGTTTTATTCCATTATTTACAAGTAATATATTACCCAAAATTTGTGATTTCCTCGAGTATAGAGGTTGTTTATATAATTCTACTGATGTGTGCTTGATTCAGCTGATCTTACCTTACATGATTTTAGGAATGCTATTGGGTTGGCTAGAGGCAGCTGTCGAGGTGAGGATGGCTTTACCTCAGGCAACTACGTTTCCTCCATATGTCTCTCATATCTTCCCAGCAGGGTTGCCTGGACATGTTCTCATGATGGTGGCTGGTTCTTCATTAGATGAAGTAGAAATACACAAACATTTTTTCAAGCATCTTCTCACATCATGTTTGTTCCTTTTTCATTGAATAATGCAAGACACAAGACTTGCCACAAATTGTACAAAAGCATAGTTTCCTTTTTTGATGAATCACAGTGCAAAAACCTGACCATAGAAGGGCTGAAAAATTCAGCCCATATTCTCAAATGATGTACCACAATAAGTGTTTGTTTTGTATATAACTATTTGAAGATCTGTAAAATCTCAGATAAAGGTTACAGAAACAGTTCCTATGGTCCAAAGAAATGGAAGATAATATTAGGCTGCAATATGCTGCAAGACAGAACAGAATAACATTCTGAAGAGTATAGTCTTGGTTGATTAGAATTATGAAAGATTCTTGAAGTTAAATTATATGACTAAATTTAGGAGGAAACAGGGGCTTGATGTTTTCACTCTGATGACAATATTTGATGTGGGATAATAAGTTGGAAATTGTAAGCTAAAAAGTTTTATACTTTGGTGTTTGCCAAAGTTGAAAAGAGAAAAACAGTGAGATACAGGAAAAACAAAATAAAACAAAACAAAACAAAAAAAACAAAACAAAACTTGATTTAAGATATTTCTCATCATTATGATGGTTTAACTTTCTATAGTTCAGTATTTAGTCTCCTGTTTCAATTGTGCCAGATGTGAATTTGCATTTTTTTCCATTTTGGATTAGAACCAAAGAAACATGTTCAAATAAGGCAAACTTCTATTCATGGAACTGACCTGTAAAAAACAGAATGTCAAACAATAAAATTACTTATTTCCAGTGTTATGAAGCTTTTTGATCTTTTCTAGGGCATTTTTCTTTATAGTATGGAGAAAACAAAGAAAAAAATATATATATATATACATGTGTACACACACACAATTTTAATGTATATAACCTCATCCATTTAATGTTGATTTCAGCCAAAGAAATATCATTTTGTCTCTCCTGTGTCTTGGTTACTAGCTAATAACCAATCAGGATTATGTGATAAATATTTCGGTAGCTAATTTTGGAGTAAAGCAAAGAAGAGTAAAAGTGTGTCTGAATTTTACTCACCCACATCTCACTCTGTGGGGGAAGCCAGCAAGAAAGGAAGAACTAGAAAAATAAAATATTATTGGACCTCAGAGAGTTCTTGTGGAAATGTAGACAATACGGATTGGTTTTATTTGGCTGCATTTTATTGGTCATTCTTGGGAGAAATAATGTTAAGAAGAAATTCTGTGTGATTTTTGTTTGTGTGCTTTTAAAAGCAAATTCAATTTTTCAAACAACATAATGTCATATATATTACTCTATCCATTAATTCACTGTTGGACACTGAATTCACATCTTTGCTATTGTGAGTACTGCTACAATAAACATGTGAGTGCACGTATCCCTTTTATGTATTGCTTTCTTTTCCTTTGGGAAGATACGCAGTAGTATGATTGCTAGATCAAATAGTAATTCTAATTTTAGTTTTCTGAGAAATCTCCATACTGTTTTCCATAGCAGTTATACTAGTTTCCATTCCCACCAATGTTGTTATTCACAAAACCTTGAGACACCATTCCTGGTTAAAGGAGATACAGACTTTCCAGTGGAGCCAAAATCCCCAAAGTGCCATTGCTATTCCTCAGTTTTTACATTGGTAGAATAGATGGACATTCATCTTGCCTTGCTGATACTACTTTTCCTATATTAACTGAAGAAACGTGGAGTTATGTAGTCCTTTTCCTTATTAGAAGAACTATTACTGTGGATGTAAAGTTTTTACTCTTATTATGACTATTATTTTATAGCACAGAATCTTGGCATATTAGGTATTCAGAAATATTTATTGAAGTTATTAGCTATTTACAAAAATATAATTCTAGAACATTTCTTTTTTAATATTTGAATTTTGGAAGATTTTAGATATCTAGTAAGAAATATCTATTGTTATTGCAACTCTAATATCACAATATTTCACTCAGATATAAATTGATGGGGATGATATTGAGACAAAAATATGACCTAAATAGGAAAAAAAGACAAGTAGAGACTGTAAGCAGGGTCAGAATAGTTCTTACGGAAGATAGATTACAAGTTAAACCTACTTCATGTATGAATTGTAAGTTAACCTACATGAAGAACCAACTTGAAGTAATATTTCTTTTCATTTTCTGGCCATGTTCAAAGGAACATGTACTTTTACTATTTAGACAATTTTAATACTGTGACCTAAGTGAGAAAATCCCAACGGATAACTATGGTAAAATATTAGTGCTTACATCATGAAAAATACATTAGTATTTCTCATTACTTCATAGTGCCTGAAAAAAATAAAAATGCATGTCTTAGAAAAATTTCGAAATTAAAAATAAGTTCAGTAGATAAACATACATTTTGGCAGAATACTCCCGAACAAGTAAATGCATGCCCTGACAATGTAAACAGAGATCAAAAGGACAATCAAATTCAGAGAATTGAAACCTAGAGTTAAAGTCAAAAAAAAAAAAAAAAAAAACAGCTTAAAAAGCTTTTAAAAAGATGGTATGTTAGATATACATGAGTCATATGTAGTGATTCATGAAACAAATTAAAACAGACTTCAAGGGTGGTTGTATTCAAATTATATAGATTATTTTAAAAAGTAAATTGTAATTTTTATGTAATTTTCATTTGACTTTGTATTGTCATATAATTTTTCCTTTTTTTTTTTCTGAGATGGAGTCTCATTCTGTTGCCTAGGTGGGAGTGCAGTGGCGAAATCTCAGCTCACTACAACCTCCGTTTCCTGGGTTCAAGTGATACTCCTGCCTCAGGCTCCCAAGTAGCTAGAATTACAGGCATGCACCACCAAGTCAAGCTAATTTTTCTATTTTTAGTAGAGATGGGTTTTCACCATGTTGGCCAGGCTGGTCTCCAACTATTGACCTCAGATGATCCACCTGCTTCAGCCTCCCAAAGTGCTGGGATTATAGGCATGAGCCACCATGCCCAGCTTGTATTGTTATATAATTTAAAGTATGTTTTAATAGCGATAGAAACATTCATAGAGGATTGCTGAAATCATATTCAAGAGATATATGATAAACAGAGAAGAAAAACTGATTTAATAGGTGAAGAAAAACAATGAACTATGAGAAATTACTATTGGAATTCCACCAGATTATAAATAATTATATAATTTTTTGTGTATATCTGTAAAAATTTTAAATTATGATAAAAATGTTCAATACTTTTATTATTTGTGTTGTGTGTCTGGAATTCCTAGAAAAAGACAGTGTAGAAAGGACACACCGGCTTTTATCTGCCTAAGGCCCTAGGAATGCCTCTTCTCACCACCATTCACATTTCATTGGCAAAGATGGCAAAGATCAATCTCTTGGCCCCCCTACATGTTGGGGCTATGAGACTGGGATTCGTAATATATCTACATATTTATCAAGAGTTAGAGAATAATTGTGAATTGTTACAATCTCTATCATGGAGTCTAACTCTCAGAGGCTGACTCATGACAACCAAAGTCATGAGCGACATATAAAGAAAGGCACTCATTAATTGCCACTAAAATCACATTGCCACAGATACTGAATATATTTTCCCCAAAATCATAATTTGAACACAGAATGAGACTATCTTATCTTAGCCTGGTAAATCTTCATCAATATATCTCATACTGGAAATTATAACTACTTCCAATGCCTGAAAGTTTTATGTTCTTGGGCAAAGACATAAGTGACTGACAAAGATATCTTTTGAATGACAGTTTCTCTTGATAGATTTGAACTTTCATTCAAATGGCAGTGAAGACTGGCTGACCTAATAACTATTCCAGATCTTAAGACAACTTAATATTTTTCTGCTTTGATAAATTACATTTTGTTTTAAAAAAACACAAACATTTATGTTTTGATTATTTCTACTCTGAAGGCTGTCAGAAATATTTTATTAAAATAGTGCTTAAAATCTCAGTACTATTTTTTCCTTCAGGTAAATACTTTCAGAACAATCATATTTTCAGTTATACTATATAATAACTTTGAAAAATACTAACAAAAATAATATAACTCTAATATTATCACTTTGTAAAATAAAACATCAACAACTGTAGATTTTAATGTAAAAATAACAATAGTATCTTCTTCAATTTCCATTTAAATAGAATAATCACACACATCTTAAAAATCAGTATTATTCATTTAAAACCTCAAAAAGTTAAATTTCATTTCAGATATAAATTTTGGTGCCAATAAAACACACTAAGTATATATTTTTTTCAAAGCAAAGGCAAATATTACCTTTTCTATTTCAATTTAGAATAACTCAAAAAGAAAATGAAGTAAATTTTAAAGGGTCAATGATATAAAATAATACATCAAATACTTTCTAGTCAGTTGATTTAATAATTCACAGTTTTTTCCTAAGCTATTATTCAACTAATGTAGCACAGCTTTCTATATAAAAATTTTTTAGTCTATTTATATTTTCCATTTAATAATACTTTTAAAATTAATTTAAGCAGGTATATATGAATAAACATAAAGTGCCCTCTCACTCTCCATGTATATATATGAAGCTACTTTTGAAGGGAATCATGGCAGACAGGAGGCAGGACTATATTGTAGCTCCCACTTAGACAGAGCAGTGTGTAGAGAATTGCATTGTAAGGTTTTCCTCCAGAGCTACTGCAGGAATAAACCAAGAAAGCCAAGAGAACCCACAGACCTTCTAAAGGAAGCAAATTGCTCCTCCAGGACCTAGGAGACACCCCAAATACTGTGAGTGTCCAAGCTGCGAAAGTGGGAAAGAGAGATTGTCTGCCCCTGAACACTCACCTTCACTAGGGAACAGGAAGGTCTTGATTATAGGAGAAAATTCTGACCTTATCTGGAGTGGAATCAATTTAGAGAGCTGAGCGAAATACAGGGGTAGAGGAAGGAGTGGGAAAACCCTGTAGGCTTGCTGGGTCGCCTAGCAAGCCATTTCTGCCCTGACTCACAAGGGCCCTTAGAGAGGATGGCTAGAGGCACTGGGGAAACGCCACATGGAGAAGGAAAGCTCCAGCTGAATGCTGTAACAGTCCCAACCATATGCAAAGTATTCTCGCCAGAAATTGGGAAAAGGCATGAATCCAGTGTGCTGATTCCACAGGTGGGGATGCACCTTTTGCAACTTTTGCAACTGGGAGGCTAGTAGCCTGAGACAAGTTCTCAGCCTTGCTTGTCCACTTCCTGGAAACAAACTCAGTGCCATTGAAGGGGACACGATGGGTGTGAGACCAGCCCTTTGCATTGCTTGGGAGCTGGGTGAGGCCTGTGACTACTGGCTTTCCTCCACTTCCCTGACAACCTGTATAACACATTCGAGGCAGCCATAATCCTCCTGGGAACATAACTCCATTGACCTGGGAACCACACCCTATGCCCCACAGCAGCAAGACCCAACCAAGGAGAGTCTGAGCTCAGTTATGACTAGCTCTGCCTCCACCTGAGGGTTCTTCCTTACCCATCTTGGTAGCTGAAGACAAAGGGCATATTCTCTTGGGAGTTCTAGGGCACCACCCATCACCTGATCCTGCCTATACTACCATGGCTGTTGCTCCCTTGAAAGCGCCACCTTGTGGCAGGAGGCCAATGAGCACAAAAATAGTGCATTAAACAACCAAAACTAAGGACCCTCATACAGTCCATTTCACATCCCTGCCACCTCCGTTGGAGGAGGTGCTGGTAAACAACAGCTGAGAGGCCTGCAGATGGTTCACATCACAGGACTCTGTGCAGACACTGAATAGTACCAGTGAGGGGCCTGGTAGGCCTGCTGGGTGGCTAGATCCAGAGGAGATAATAATCACTATAGCTCAGCTCTCACATCCCTAGGAAAAATGGGAGAGTACTATGAGAGTACCAAATAATCTGTCTGAACAGCAGCCTTGAATCCTAGACCTTTCCTCTGACATAGCCTGCCCAAATGAGAAGGAACCAGAAAAACAGATCTGGTAATATGACAAGACAAATTCTTTAACCACCCTCCCCCACCCCCCCACCCACCAAAAAAAAAGTCACACTAGCTCATCAGCAATGGATCTAAACCAAGAAGAAATCCCTGATTTATCTGCAAAAGAATGCAGAAGGTCAGTTATTGAGCTAATTAAGGAGGCACCAGAGAAAGTTAAAGTCCAAATTGAGGAAATAAACAAAAAATAATACAAGAAAAAGGAAAGAAGTCTTCAGTGAAAGAGATAGCATAAATTTAAAAAAATCAAAACAGCAGGAAATAATGAACACACTTAGAGAAATGCAAAATGTTCTGTAAATTTTGAGCAATAGAATCAAACAAGCAGAAGAAACAACTTCAGAGCGCAAAGACAAGGTTTTTGAATTAACTCAATCCAAAAAAGACAAAGAACAAAGAATCAGAAAAAATGAACAAAGCCTACAATAAGCCTGGGATTATGTTAAGCAACCAAACCTAAAAATAACTGCTTTTCCTGAGGAATAAGACTAATCTAAAAGTTTGAATAACATATTTGGGGAAATAATTGAGGAA